CCGAGCCGCACACATGGCAGCACCGCCGCATTTACCTGAGTTGGAATCTTGCTGCTTTTCCCGTGTTCGCCTCTTCTTTTTCCCCTGGGGAAGCAAAGGAAAGGTTGTTAGTCGTGTGCTGCCCAGGGTTTTCGTGGCTGGGCTGCCGGGGAAGGCTGGTGCCGGCCAGGTGAGCGGCCAGGCCCTCGGCTGAGCACAGTGGGGTGCCCACGGTGCCGCCGGCTGTGCCCATTCGGAGAGAGATGAACTGGAAATCACTGCAAGGGGACCTGCTCAGCTTTATCTCCGTGGGCATCCCTTTCCTTTCCCCAGCTGCGCAGTCCAATGCTCCTGAGAAGAATCCCAGGAGGAAAGAAACCCCCAAAACCTGTGTTTGCACACAAATGGGCACCTTGTACATGGCACATATTTGTTCTGAGCATGTACTTTTTCCCCGGAATAACCCTTACGTCCAATACACTGCATCTAGTACCACAGGCATTTTGGCTCACAGAGTGGTTTGGGTTGGAAGGGGCCTTAGAGCCCACCCAGTCCCACCCCCTGCCATGGGCAGGGACACCTTCCACTAGACCAAGTTGCTCCAAGCCTCATCCAGCCTGGCCTTGGACACTTCCAGGGATGGGGCATCCACAGCTGCTCTGGGAAACCTGTCCCAGTGCCTCCCCACCCTCTGCGGGAAGAACTCCTTCTTGATGTCCCATCTTAATCTCCCTCTTTCAGTTTAAACCCGTTACCCCTTGTCCTGTCACTCCCTGCTCTTGGAAAAAGTCGCCGCAGCCTTCTTGTCGGACCCCAAAACCATCATCCCAAAACCACTCCGTGCGAGATCCGTGCATACACAGAAGCGGCAACAGAAACCCAGAGGAGAGGGCGGCTGGTCCCTGCCGCCACCCCCCGCCTCTGCTGCATCACCTTCCCTGCACACTGCTCCCCTGCTCCGTGTCCAGGACCACGCTGCAGACGCAGCACAGACCCCGAGTCTCCCACAGTCTGTGCGAGAAGGAGCAAGGGAGAACGTTGGTGGGTGCAAAACAACGTAACAAACCCAGCCTGAGCTACTCAGCACCTCTGCCAACCCCTGCCAGGCCTCCTCGGCCCACCCCAATGTGTCTCACCTGGGAATCCCACCCATTATCACTCTAATTAATTAATTGATAATTTAATGAATTGATCTAACCAGATGAATAGAATTAAACAAGATTTACTGCATGCAGTCTGATCAACAGCTGATCCTCCTGCCGTATTCTTACTCCCCCTCCCTATGTTTCTAAAAAGCACTTGGCCCATTTTAGCACCTTCCCCATTTCCAACAGGCGCTCTAATGCGGTGCCTTTGCGCTGGTTTTAGACAGGACAGGGTGGATATTCTTCAGAATAGCTGGTATGAGGCTGTTTTGGATCTGCCCTGAGCACAGCACTGATAAGGTGCTCGTTAGTGGGTGCTGGGGAGTGCCTGTACCAACTCAACGCCTTTCCAGCCTGCTGCAGCTGCGTTCCCAGCTTTCTCCCTACAAGCAGCGTGGGGGGACACAGCTGACCCAAACGGACCGAAGGGGGATTTCATTCCACAGTACGTCATGCTCAGTACATGACCCGGGGTGGGCAGGGGCCATAGCCCGTTTGTTTAGCTTGTTTGTTAGCTCATTTGCCTGTTTGTTTTGTTCATTAGCTCATTTCCTCGTTAGTGAGCTGGTGGGTGGGTTGGCTTGTCGTGCTGTCGCTCATGAGGCTCGCTCGGACTCTCCCTACTTGGGAGCTGGCTGTGCATCAGTTGGTGGGTGGTGAGCAACTGTATCATCTGTTCTATTTCCCATTATTTTAATTACTTAGTAGTATCGTTAATATTACTAGTATCACTACAATATTCACTTATACTCAATTATTAAATAGCTCTTATCTCAATCCATGAGTTTCCTTGCCTTTTCCTCTGATTCTCCTCCTCCACTGAAGGGAGGCGGGGAGGTGAGCGAGCGGCTGCGTGGTACTTGATTGTCAAGGTTAAACCACAACAGCCTTATCCGTGAACAGAAACTGCTCCGTAACACATTCCCAGGAGGAGCATCCCTGATTTCAAATGGGAAGGTCAGTTTTAGGAAATCCCCAGAAATTCTAAATAATATTTATCTCAGTGCTTTCGCAGCTGTGGCCCCATCTCTCATTCTTCTGTTTTCTTCCCTCACTAACAACAACCCCCAGCTGTATCCCCAAACTGACTCGCAACACACGCCACCTCCCCTCGTCTCCTACGGAGCTCCCTAACGAGGGCACAGTGGCGCAGGAGCACACCCGGCTGCTTGGGGCAAGCAGCTCGCAGGGCTGTGCCTTTGACCCGTGACTTGTTGTGTGACTTCTTGTGGTTTGAGTGAAGGTGGAAAGCTCCAGGCTGCGGTAAGCTTTTTCTTCGGTGTGGGAGCAACTGTATTTCCTGCCCGATATCCGCATCATGTGCTGCAGAAATGACCTACATTCCTCCTCCCTGCTCAAGATCCGGAGAGAAAAGCAACTCTTGCAACGACCGCAAGACCCAAAGCAGCTGTTTGCCGGTGCCGGGAGAACCAATGTGCCTTTGGAGCCCACCATCCGCTCCATTTTCTGGAGCAAGGAACCAGCCCTTGCCAAGATGAAAGATGCTATGGGATTGAGATTTCCATGGAAGAGGAGGATGATGCCTTGCTCTCAGTGATGCTGCTGCCTTCCAGATGTTGATATCCTCTAGATGTGTGCCCACCAATGCACCTTTGGTGCTGCCCCTGTTTCCCGGAGGGTGTCTCTGGCTGGCAGCAGCATCCACGCTGATCCTGCAAAGCTGCATACGGATGCTGAGCTCCTGGTCTGTGCTTGGAAGGAGACCAGGATATCTGTGCTGCTGCAGGGAACTGCAGGCTGAGGGCTTCCCATAACCTCTGCTTTTTCTGCATCATCTCTGTCCTCTGGGTTTTACGGGGTGGTTTTGGTCTGCTTAAGGGTGTTTTCTTGCCCTTGCTGTAGTCTGGACTTCCTGGAAGGAGGGCTCGGGTCAGGGTGGGCTGGATGGGCGCTTGCTGTGCAGCTCCCAGGGGGAAGAAAGCATCTCTGAGGGAAATGAGGGAGCTTTAGAGTGGATGGATGGCTATCTGATGACTTACGTGTGCTTTGCTTCAGGTCTCTAATGAGCTCGTTAGGCATGTAAGATCAAAACAGCCGAGAAAGCCACTAGAAAAGACCCGGAGTGTATCCCATGCTTCTGGGGAACTGCTACACTTAGGCAACCTTGTTTAACACGGAGAGGCTGAAGTGATTGATTAACATAGCTAAGAGGAAATGAACTGTTTTCAGTCTGGGAGCCCCCAGCCGTGCCGGTTTGGCAAACACCAGTTATCAGCCCCCCTCCCGGGTCATTTCTGGCCACGCCACAGGGAGGGGGCCCGAGCCGCAGCAGCCACTCACATAGTTGTCTCTGGCAGACCAGCCGGGGTAGAGCTGCATGTGGAGCTGCCGTTCCTTGCGGGCCAGTTCGTAGTACTTGGCCTGCTCCTCCCGGGACAGCGCGTGCCACTGCAAGGACAAGCGCAGTGGTGAGACGTGGCCCTGCTGTCCCCTCCCAGCCCACCCCACCCCAACCGCCCCGCTCCAGGGTGCATCCAACTTGGGTTAGAAGCACCCTGAGTCTTGTTCCATGCCCAACTACAGCTGCAGGGGACGGGGATGCTGTGCTGATGGCACCGAGTGCTCTTACCCTCCTTCCCAGGATCTGGTTGATGGCGGCGCTCTCCTTCAGGGTGCACTCGGCAATGACTTTCGCCCGCATTTCTTTCATATACAACATGAAAGCGTTCAGGGGCTTCTTGATAGTGGGCTTCTTGGCTTCCTTCTCTCTCTTTGGTTCTGGCTGAGGTTTCCTTGAGGGGACCACAAGAGATGCTGTCAGCATCACTGACCCCCCAGCCTGCCCATCTGAGCTTGGCAGAAGACTCGATGCCAAACCCACCCGATGGCACGAGCAGGTGCGGGGCCAGAGATTCGCGCCTGGGACGCACACTGCTGCTGCCCGATGCAGGCAGAGCTCGGTGTCCATCCCTCCGCCCCCCGCACACGCGTAACTGAAAGGGGCATGGAGGCTCTAAGGAGGCCGGCACTCCCAACTCACATGTTTCGGTCGTAGTGCTCCATCTCTTGCTTGCCGGAGTGGGGCACGATGGCGGGGTGCGGGATGCCGGTGGTGTGCATGCCAGAGCCCAGCATCAGCGGGTGAGTGAACCTGCAACAGAGAGCGGATGAGCCTTGCCGGGAGAGCTGCGCCAGGGATGCTCGGGGCGCTCGGGCAGCCGGAGCGGTGCGTCTCACAAGATGACACTCGGACGTGGCAGAAGCAGACGGTAAGCGGAGGACATGGAAAGCAAACCGGTGGGTGTTGCTGGGCTGGCACAGGGCAGACGGTGCCCACCACTCCTGGCAGCAGTGGGCACGGCCGGCCAAGCCACAGGCAGGCGGTGGCAAGGCTCCGGGTGCCTCACCGCGGCGAGGAAACCATCCTGACCGAGATCCAGGGTGCTTCCAACCAGCGGGTTCAGCCACTCAGGTCTCTGTTGCTGCAGTCTCTTATTATCATGGCAGAAAGGAACAACAAACTCAACGCGGGGTTTGGATGGGTGAGGGTAGGACCACCCCACACCTTTCTTTTAACAGAAACAGCCTGAGCCCCAACATGAACCAAACTGCAACTCTAGGAGGTGCCCCTTGCCTGAGCAACGCTCTCCACCCGCGCAGGACTGAGATCACGAGAGGTCTCGCTGCCTTTCAAGCTTCGCTAGCTCTCTCTCAAGCTTGAGAGGGTAAAGCCAGCGCCGTCAGCTTTGCCAAGCTTGCCACTTTATGGCTGCAGCCTGAGATGGCAGAATTGCCCATGGGAGATGAACTGTTCATTAGATATGCTGGCACGAAAAGAAAAGCTGTTTAATTTAATCCACCAGCAGAGTCTGATCCTTATCTCACCAGGTGTACTTTCTCGGCTGCAGCAGCGCTGCAAAATCTGCCCCAAAAATCCTGCGAGCAGGAGCTCCTGCGCTGGCGCAGGGAGGCTGCTGGGCCTCCCTAGGGAACCGTTAGCTCCTCTCTAGCCTTCACCTCCGAGGCTGGGCAAAGCGATGCCTGAGGGAGCAGGGAGGGCTGTCAGTGCTCCCTTGCCTCCGCTGCAGGGATAAGGCTTTGCACGGATGGAGGGCTGCATGGATGGAGAGTTTTGCATGGATCAAGTTTTTTTGCATGGGTAAGGGTTTGGTTTTCCTGTGGGAATCCTCCACTAACGGTTTTTCAGGACAAAGAAGCGAAAGCTGGTGCGTGGGCACGCGCAGCGTGCACAGGCATCCCCGCGCTGCTGCCATCCTTGCTGAAGCCACGGGGGCTTTGCCCCCTCAGCACACCCAGAGGGGCTGGGCTCTGGGTTTTCCATCCACAGGGGATGTATTTTGCTCACTGGGACTTCACGGGGTGTCTGGGTAGATTTACAGAGGGCAAAATTCGGTCCTGGTTGACCATCTACCTGCAGTAGGAATGGTATGAGGCTGTGCTGTGGGGGAAGCAGGGCCGGCTCCTGCTGAGCCCTCCCCATGCCCAGGGTCCGTGCCCGTGATGATGGGACGGGGGGGCTGGAGCTGCACTTACTTTTCAGAGGGCTGAGCTGTACCGATGGGAGGACAGCAAATAACTGCCTGTCCTGCTGCTAAGGCTGAGACCAAATAACAGGGATCGCGCTCTGCAGAACAAAACTCAGCAGCGGTGGCAGCAGGGATATATTCAGGGTTAGGATTAGTAATAAGGAGCAAAATCCCGAGTTATGGATTTCACACCCTTCTCCCAAAATTGAGCTGAAGGCAGGGATTTCTGGCTTTATTTTGACTTCTGCTGATTAAAACCCAATTGTTACGCATCGTCCCGGGATGCTTGATATTCCCCTGACCTCCCTTTGGACCAGACACAGTCTAGAAGCTCCTGCCCTTCCCATGGCTGCCCGGGGAAGGTGCGTCGCCGTCCCGGGGCGGCCGTGCTCTGCTGCAAGCTCCTACCGCACACACTGCAAGCGGCGAGACCAGCCGAGCTGCTGCCCTGTCTCACACAGCTCATACTCACCTGGAGAAAGAAGGCCCAGCAGAAAGCGCTGACGAATACGGCTGTCTAAATCCACATGACGGGAGCGGATAGACAGACTGGCTCTGCCTGGGATCGGGAAGAAAGAGTCTATAAAGTATCCACAGCTACGTGGTGTTTCCTAAAGATACCCTTGGCTAAGGGGACTCGGAGCACCGATGCCGCAGGAGCTCTGCCTGGTAGGATGCTCGGGATGTCCCCTGGGCTCAAGGGGTAATGCAGGACTTGGAATTTGTTTTGGGGGAAGCTGGGCCTCCCTGCAAAAGCTGGATCAAACTCTGACCCCACCCCCGTTCCCGGCGTTGAGTACACAGCTTTGAGTTTATCCTGTTAAAACACAAAATGCGGAGGTGTGCTGAAAAATCAGGAGGCGTTGCTATTGCATGGAAGAAGCTGCTTAAGAGCACAGTTTGACCAAAAAACGAAAGCCTGGTCTGAGCCTCTCTCTGTGCGATGCAGACCGCTGTGTGGTCACGGGGAAAGGGAGAAAGCACCTTGCGCATGCTCCAGAAATGCTCTGGTTTCCCCAGCACATCCCTACAAGGATTCCCGTCATTTTTAAACAAGCCAAAAGCTCAGTCCTATGTTTCTTTCGAAGTTGTTTCACACTGGGGATGAGGCATATACCAGACCTGGAGCTGGAAATTATTTTTGAGATAGTAAAAAAGCTATCCAGGAAGTTCCTCCTTGTTCCCAGCAGGGAACCCTCCTGTTTTCATATGGAGATAGCTCAAAAATACCTTGGCTTGTTCTCCAAACCTGCCCACAGATGCTCCCAGCCTACAAACTGCCCACAGAAACCGAGAGAGAGGATGCGGGGATGCTTCAACCCATGCAGATGCTCTTGCTCCCCGCGCCAGGCTGCACCGAGCTGTGCCTAAGAGCAGCGATCTTCAGCTTTAATAAGCAAAAAAAGCCCATTATCATTAAGCACAGGCCCCGTCGCTGCTGTGTCTCGGCTTGACTGAAATCGGCAGGATCTGTCTGTAGGAAAGGCAGGCGAGGCGGCGGGGCTCTGTTTACACCCTGCCAGGCAGCAGCCTTCTCCCACCCCTTAGATGTCGGCGGGCATAAACACACCAACAAACGGCCAAGCGCTACCACGCATCGGGAAACCGAAACAACCTTTGAAGTTGAACGCAGCTGCCCCAGGGCCGAGAAAACACTCGGAGCTAATCCAGAAGCGACACACGTTACTGCAGAGGCTGAGGTGCTGGGATAGAGAAGGAGCCGGGCGCTCGTGGCTCCATCCAAAGTGATTCTGATGTGAAAATTAATGCGGTATCAGTCCCTGATGGTTGGAAATGTGTGAATACCTTGCCCATGGCAGCGGGGTGGAACTAGATCTTTAAGGTCCCTTCCAACACAAACCATGCCGTGACTCTATGATTACAGCCCGCATCACCCGGTGATGGGAGGGCTTCTTGGAAAAAAGGCCTGGGACGGAAGTGGAGGGGCTACTGTGGTGCTGCTGCCGCTCGGCCCAGGCAGCAGGTGAGCGATACAGCTCGCAGGCTCCCAGCTGGCTCCAGCCAGCCAAACTCACTCAACTGGACTCTCTGAGGCTTTTACCCGACTGTCATCCCAGCTAATTACAGACAGAGTGATGGCAGCTCCTCCTGATGAAGCGCTAGGTGAGAACAAAGCCCGTCTGCCCAGCTCTGGCGTGTCGGCTTGCGGAGGAAAAGCTGCTTCCTGCACATAGCATCCCTGGCGTGAGCATCCCTGGTGTGAGCATCCCCAGCATGCGGCCCCTGCTGCCCACTGCCTCCTGCATGGGGCTCCACGCTGCCGTGCTTTGGCGCTTCTGCACCCACACACACTGGGAGCGTTTTCTGGGCTCTTACCCTGAATTTTGGGCAGGCAAAAGGATGAGTAAAGGCTCTACCACAGCTCCGAGGTGCTGCTCTCCGCTCTTTCACGTTGCTTTACCGTATCTGCTCTATTAGTCACTAATGAGCGTGTCTGATGAGGTTGCTTGAGGATGCCAAACCCTGCGGATGCTGGAGCAGCTCACAGCGACGCAAACTCCCTCCACCAACAACCGCCCGACAAAACCTGTGCCAACCAGACTTCTCACCCTCCATGTGCCCAGGGCCGCCCCTACCAGCATCCCACCCCCTCAGAGTGGACCTTGCACTTGGCAAACAGGCTCCTTTCTCACCCCCAACTATTTCTTTTGTGTTACAGCACAGTCACCCCAGTACTTGTTTTTCCTGAGGGTGAATCACATCATATGAGGAGTTAAATCATCGCCCAAGAGCAGCAGATTTAGCCGAGAAGGCAAAATGTAATCACTTTGAAGCCAAACTCTGTATCAAAGGCCTCAGCCCCTGTTTCCTTGTGGTTAAATATCTGGAACATGAAATTCATCAACAAAACAAACCAAAAATCTAACATTTTACTTTGTGTTTTATGCTTTGTCTCTCCCATTTTGCAATACCTGCTTGTACCCAGAGGTCTCTGCTGGGCTTTGCTGGGATTTAACAGCTGGCAGCGGGGTGGATCTGGCCGCCTGCCCCTGCAATTGCCCTCCCCACCTTTTCCCCTCTGTCCTGGCCATCCTGACCTGCTGCCTGCAGCCACCGACTTCCTTGTGATCCTCTGCAAGGTCCCTGCATCATGATGGGGATTAAAAATACACCAGAGGAGTGACGATGCCCACCTGGCACCGCCCACCAGACCTGCTCCCTCCAATGCCGGTGACAAAATCCGTGTGACCACAGAGCACACATCAGTGTATTTTTAACTCATGTCCCGGGGGCAGGTTTCCCAATGGGCTACACTTCACGGGCTGCTCCTAAGGCCTGGCCCATGCAGACAGGACATTTTGGGAGTGCTCCAGCCTACAGTTCCTCCTTCCCCGTCCCCTCGGGGCAGTGGGTGATGCTGAGCTGGCTGTGCCATGGCCAGGCTGCAGGTACCGGGGTCGTTTGCTGGGACAGGTCTTTGCCACAGTGTATTTTTTCCCTGCTTATCAGATCCCAAGAGGCAGCATGGCCCAGCGGATGGAGCGTCCCACTGAATTACCCCACACCAGCAGCATGCTCAGGGAAAGCACTGTTTGTACGGAAAACCCCAATGAGGGAGAAACCCCAATGAGGGAGAGGCTGTTGTTGTGATTAGGAAAGGTGGGTAGGAAGCTTTCTCTGGGTTTCCTAATCCGCACACGCAGCTAGATACAAGGCAGGAGGCGGTTTGGAATGGGGCAGGTTGTAACCCCGCTCCAAGGATGCTGCAGCTGGGATGAAGCCTTCAGCCTCTCCGTGGATCTGTTTCCTGTCTCTAAACCAGGGCTAGCCCCTCCTCCCCATCACACAGCACGCAGAAGGGATGATGCCGGGGCGAAAGCACTGTGGAGGTGACAGAGAAGAGCTGCCCGTGGTGTGCTCGCTGTACGGAGTGGCCGGGTGAGCCCGCACGGGACTGAGCCCTCCACACTCACCATCCCATCGACGGCGTGATCTGTCCGACTCCACCGGGAGGGAGAGGGTAGAAACCCGGGATGTCTGAGGTCTGGGAAGGACGGTGCACTCCTGGGAGAAGGGAGAAGGAGAAGAGTTGGACCCAGCATCACGCTTGCCAGCTGACGCGGCATGCTCCCAACCCCCCTGGCTGCTCCATCGACGGGTGCTTATGGGCAACAGGGAATATGTGTGAAAGAGCTGTCTGCAAGCAGCAGGACATTATTTGCCCTTTTTATTGCCGTGGTCCTCTCTGCAGGGATGTGGTGGGTCCCCCACGTTGCTGCAGAATCACAAACACTCGTGTAATGGGGTGGGGGAGGCAGCTCACTCCGGCACAGGCATCATCCGTGCTCTGTGCTACCCTGAGGACAAGCAAATCTTGCTTTGGTAAGGATCTGATGGATTCTGGACATCCCTCTGCCCTTCCCAGAGAGTTCAGGGACACAACCAACAGCCAGTGCCATTCCTACACCCCCTTCCCATCAATCCTCCCTGGGACCCCCCAGGAGGGGATGTTCCAGCAGCGTCTATCTCGATTTTAAACAACTGGAGTCCCCGCTCAAAGCAATCGTTTCGTGGGCTCAGTGGGTGCCAAGGAACAGCGGAGGTGGGTATGGTGCCAGCTGGGAATTCACCCTGAGCACGGGAAATCCCTGCGTGATCTTCAAAGCCGCTGGCACGGGTGGCATGGCCAGAGGAGACAGCACCTCGCAGTTTCTATCGGGACATGAAAACAGCCGGCAGAGCCCGGGGCTGCGGGTGGGACTCAGACAACCACCGTGCTGCTGGCAAAACAGCCTCCAGCTCACTCCCAGACTGGAAAAGTGGACGGGAGCTGGGGCATGGTGTAATACTGACTGCTAACGAGCCTCGGACCAAAAGTCATGTACGGAGATTGTCCAGCAGCTTTTCTGGGCATTAAATCCATTGAGCAAATTGGTCATGAGGTGCAAGGAGTTCACAAACTCAGAAGGCTGGATTATTCTCCCAGGTGTGTTAATGATAAATTAGTAATTAGGAATGATACCAACAGATTCCAAACATCTTCTTAGGAGTTAGCTAAAATAAATATATAACTGAACGGAAGGGAATACCTAAGTGAGCATGAGATTTACCTACAGCTGTGCTCAAGTGGGATGCTGCAGCCCACTGAGGGGCAAACAAAACCAGCATCCGCATTGGGCAGCTCCCAGGATTTCCTGAGAGCTGGACCCCCGCCCCCCGCCAAAACACGTTGCGTAAGCCAGAGCACAAGTTATTCTCGCTGGCCCAGTGGTTGGGGCAGCAGCCACTGACTCAGAAGATCCTGCTTGTATTTCCTTGTCTGTGTGTCCTTGGGCTACTGTGAAGCACTTTAAAGGGTGCTGTGAGAATGAGGATGACGGTGACTCTCAGGCGCTTACACTAGCTGATAATGGGAGATATTTCAGCGAGATGGGACACATCCAGAGCGAACGGGGAAGGAAACCCTCGCCCCAGCAGCGCAGGGATGGGGCACGCAGAGCTGATCACAGCAGCACCATGAAGCAGGTCCCAGCTAAGGATGACGATCTGAACCTTTAAACAAATAGGATCTGGGAAGTCTCTGCAGGGGACTGAACCCTCCCCCATCCCCAAACCCTCCTCCAATGTAAATGTACAGGCTAAATGGGAAAGGGGAAAGCCAGAGGACAGCTTCCCAGAATTACTGACCCATTGCTGAGTGAAGGCTTAGGGACGACTCCAGTACCAATTGGAGCCTCCACGGAGGGATATAATCAGCTCATCCCCTTGGGTGAGCTGCTCCCATGCTGCCTAAGGCTTTCCAGACTAATGCGGAGTCCCTGGAGGTAGCTCACAGTGAGGGGCTTTTGTGCTCTGCAAGGCATCTGCAAAGGCAGCGTGAAGGAAGGTGCATCGGGTCGCCTTCCCGGGAGGTTTAGAGATCGGCACGTTTCCTCGCGAGATTCGGAAATCTGCCATTAGCTGAGCTTTTAATGGGTTTGTTTTGTTAACCCTTCATATTTTTCTGCCGAGTTCATTATGCTCTGGTGTCTCCCAAGCAATGTGCTGGCTGGAAGAAAACCAGGATGTGCCTGGGTGTCTCTCACACCGGACCTAAATCCTCCCCATCAGCATCATCCCTGATGAGCCCCGAATGCAGGCTCCGGGTTCAGACCAGGGATAACTCCGCACACCCTCCAGCCATGAGCATCCTCAATACCCTGTCCTTCCAGAAACGACGTGAACATGAAATCGCGCCCAGGGTGGTGCACTGGGTAATCTGAAGAGATGCTGGAAGCTCCTCAACGTAAGGTTGAGAATCTGTTATTACACTCAGCTCGCCCGTAACCCACAAAAATGATGGGCTGGGGTGAAGTCCTATACACATACCTATATTTCACAGTTCAGGGTTTAACCTCTATGTACTGTACTTTCCTCTGTAGCGCCACGAGCTAATTGACGTGTCCTGGACTCTCACAGGAATCCAAAGAACCAAACCGTGTGACAACCACACAACGTGTGGCTACGGACACACACATATAACAATCCAGTCAGCTATCAGACACTGATCCTATTTAGTCAAAATATTTCCTGTTTCAAGCATTTCTTTTCTCAAAATGACAACCTGACAACAGTTTGGGTATGAGTCAAAGGAAAGATTACTTTTCATTTTCTGGTTGACTCTTGCATCATCTCGCAGGCTCTGGTCTCATCTCAAGCTACAGGACAGGTGCACAGAGAATTAAGAGTGCTTGATCAGCAGTGTTGGCATTTTTCCTATCAAACTCCTCTTGACCAGGACTACAAAGCATTGCCAAAATGCTAAATAAACTTCTAATGCCCCAGATGACCAAAGCTCTTGGCTTTTCCCATTGATCTGGGACCAGTAAAGTGACAGACTTGACCTCAGCGGTCTCTGGTGCTGTCCCCCTCCCACCGTGCGGGTCTCCAGCAGTGCCATTACCTTGTTTCTGGTTGATGTCAGCGGGCAAGTGGGGTGAGTGGGAGCCGTGGCTGAAATGGTCGTTGCTGTAAGGGATGAGCGGGGTGAGCGGGTGGACTCCGTGGGATGGCTGCACGACAGGAACTTTGTTGGACTGCAAGACACAAGGAGGGAGAAGGCTCAGAAGTCGTCAAGCTCCATGAGCAAGGAAGGTCCTGCACAGTCCTGTCCCTGCAAGCGAGGCTGGGAATTACTAAGAGCAAGGCAGAAATGCCCTTGACTACTTAAATAAACACTACAGTGTCCTGCAAGAAAAATCCATACCCAGTGACAACAGCTCACCACTGCACGGGTAGGTAGAAACCAGCTCAAATCAACACGAAGTTTTCAAAATTCAGAACTTCTTTCATTCATTTCCAGTATCTTTTATTCCAGGATGAATGTTACAAGCGTGTTACCCAACACATTGCTCTTGTCTTCTGCCGCCACAGGGTCTAAATCTGGACTTTCACATCCTGCACATTCACTCTGAAAGCCACGCTCAGGCTTTCCTAACCGGGGTGCTCACGCAGGGAGAGCCGTGCCGAGGGCAATGCCTTTGAAACTGTGACGGGGTCACCAGCGAGCCCTCGGGCTGAAATCCCCCTCGGGCTGAGCTCCAGCGCCGGGAGAAGGGCCGGAGGGAGCTGAGGCAGCGCCGAGAATGCACCAAACCCGGGAAATTCAAGAAAGAAAAATGCGATCTCCTCTTGGAGCTACTCCTGGGTTACGCACGGTGAGGCCATCGGAGCCCAACGCCTTTGTAAAAGGCGCGTTTTTGGGAACACAATGGGGAGTGCTTCTGCGTGTTGGAGCAGAGAGGGGGGAACCTGTTCAAAAGAGCTGTAAGGAAAACACACACACACACGCTGCCGTCTCCAGCCAGCCTCCTTGCCTCCAGCGTCTCGAGCTGCTCCCTACATGCCCGGTTTCGCCCATGGTTGCCTTTAAACCCAAACTGACTTGGCCTTGGTGGTGGAATGTTAGGATTTGTCCCAGATAAATCCCAGATAAATCTGTAAAGAGAAACAAGACTGAGAGCTCCCTCAAAACGGGGAAAGAATGAGAAGGGGCCAGGTGAGACAGCTTTCCAGGGGCAAGGAGCTGGGTGCTGCTTGCCAGACCCTTGTGTCCCACCGGGACAGCGACAGATGATTTGCTGCATGTCTTTTGACAAGTCATTTACAATCTCTGGGCTTGATCCACCACTGCCTTTCACTTTGGGAATGAAAGGCAGAGTGAGCTCAGGCAGAGTGAGCATGGAACACCAGCTGGCTTTGCTGGAGCCAATGGCTCCAGACCTGACGTGGACCTCTCCCTGCTGCTCCGAGATGTTTGCCCAGCAGCTCAAGAGCCCTGGGCAAGTCCTGTGTTTTGCATCCCTGCTCTGAGGAGGAAACCCGTGAAGCGGAAAGGAAAACCGACCGATGGAGATGCCGCTTTACATCTGTCTGTCCCACAAAGGTTTGCTCATGCAAATAAAAACCAAGAAGCATGCAGGTTTGCATTGAAGAATGA